TGTCTTAATAGACCTTGCCTGGAGAACAGGTGGAGGTGAGGGAGGCCTGGGGCACAGTATGCATTCTGCTAAAATCTCTGTCCAGTGACTCATTTATGAGCAGTGTTCATGCCAGAAGGGCACCTGTCCCCTTTTCTGCACTCCCTGTCCTCACTGCTCCTGTTTCTTCAGCCCTTATTCCCATGGATGTGACTTTGTGGGAACAAGAGAAGAGGGAAAGTCTAATCGTGCAAAATCAGCAACATTTTGACCAATCCCTCCTTTGTGCTGAAGCTGTCAGTGCAGCGGTGGGCACCAGTATGAGTGCCCCAAGGTACCTTCAGGGGGCACACGTGGTGGCACTGATGTCCAAATGCAGCTCCAGCTGCCCCCCACATGCCTCTCTTGTGCCTTAAGCATGGCCTTATCTCTAACTTGCTCTCATATCCCAGTGCACTGTGGAGTTGGTGTCACCACATCTCCATCACTACTGTCACCCAGAGAGGCTGAGGCCAGCCCACGGGCACGTCTCCATGCTGCAGCCCTGGGTGCAGAGCAGCCAGTTCTTTCCATCCAGGAAACTGCGGCAGTGTCGGATTTGGGCAGATGTGGAGCCATACTATTAAAGTTGTCTGAACACGCTGGGATTCCAACATGAAGGACCCTGACCAGCACAGGTCATTTTTCTTCTCTGCTGCATGTTTGAGCAGGCAGTGGGAAATCTGCCTGAAACACCCAGTAATTGTTACAGAACAAGCAACATCCTGCTGCAGAGTATTGTTTCAGATTATTCTTATCTGGGCATGATTTATGGCTTGAGAGCTTTACTGTGTCCTTGGAGATGTATGGCTTTAACAAAATAAAAGTTACTTTTGCAAAGAGGGATGGCTATCACATTTCTGTCTCAACTGCAAATAAGATAACACAGCCCAGAGAGCTCTGGTTAATCGAGAAAGTAACAGCAGCATAGTTGTTCTTTTTTTATGGCTTGACATCTGATATTAATGGTTCTTTTGTGCTTTTAAAACACCTTTTCATTATCAAAGTACATTAAAAAGAATTAATTCATTAAGCTATAGAATATGTAAGTTGGAGCTGGGGGTTGCAGGCAACATGTTTAGCTCTGTGTGTGCCTAAAGAGTTCCCTGCCAAGACAGGCTGGTCTGTGGTGGGAAGGGACTGAAGCAGGAGGGGAAGTTTCCATGTGAGGGAATAGGGGGTCAGGACCTCCTGCTCTGCTGGGAATGGGATCCCTCTGCCCAGGGTGGAGGGTCTTAGGACAGGAGAAAAGGCTGGGACCAGTCCAGCCTCTGGGCAGGTTGCTCTGTGCTGACACCTCTCCTCGAGCTCATCCCTCAGAGGTCTTGTGTGCTTGAGAGCTGCCCCGAGCTGCAGAGGGACAAAGGGGGAAGGGCTGGTCTTCCTTATCTTTATCATGATAACTCCAGGCTCAGAGTCACTCACAGGACAGGGAAAGCAATGTGAGTTGAAATTGCCCCAACCAGATCACCCAGCCACCTTTGCCATCACTGCAGGAGTTTCTGTGCAGTTCAAGGTGACCTTCACCTCTGTTATCTTCACTCTGGATTGAGCCCAGAGAAACAAGCCATGTGTCTAGAACAACAGCAACTCCAGCAGCACAGCCCATGGGGCCCAGCCCTGTGTCAGGTCCTCTGCTCCCACCTCTGCTGCCATCGTGTACTTTGGAGCTCCATCCTCTGCTAGGCACCTCTCAAGGTAGGCAGCTGCTGCAATCTGGAGGGGAATTGAGCCCTATTTGTCCACAAGTTCTCTCTTCCACTTAGGCAGTGCTAGCAAAAGAAACAGGCACTGGAAAATAATTACAAGTGTAACTTGTTTGGCCAGAAAGGATTGCCTGGGAGCACAAAGTGCAAGGCGTGTCTGCGGTGTGCATCTTAGAGATTGCAATGCCACACACTCAGCATGGAGCAATTGCTCTTTGCTGCGCAGTTCTGGGCTTGCTTCACTTTGTGAATGTGCCTAACACAGGGTAACATCTGCCATTGATTTCAGCAGAACTGGTGTTTTCAGCCAAGCAGAAAGGCCTGCAGACTTCCCAGCAGTGTTAGTATTACAGCTGGTTGGAACACCTCCAAGGAAATTTATTGTCAGAAAGGGTTGATGTATCAAACAGGACTTTTTCTTTCTTTCATTTGTTGTTGTTGTTGTTTTCATAGTAATTTGCCATTTTTAGTGGAAAAGTCTTTTTAGGCCTAGGCTGAAAGGACCAGGAACATCCAAGAAGAGCCCATGCTCTGGATTCAAGGTGTGGATGTGGACATTCAGCACATTCCTTCCTCAAGCAAGCCTGACATGTGAATGTGGGTGTCTCCATCTCAGAGAGGCACACACTTTGCCTGATACCTCATTTTCTTTTATTTTCAGGACCCCTTTTCCTTTTCAAATGTGCTGAGACTGTGAAATTAAATCATTTTCTTGAGGGGCAGAAGCCTTGTTCCGTCCTGTTCTGGTGAATTAAGCCCAGCCCAGTATTTCCATGGAGCCAGGTGGGCAGGAAGATGCCCATGGGCATGGAAGGAGCAGTGAGAGCTCTTCTCTGGTGGAGGAAAGATGGCAGATGGATGCTTCAAAACAAGTGGCCAGAGCTCAACAATGAGAATGGCAAAGAAATAGTCTGCTTGGTCCTGATGCCAACAAACCATAGAGCTGAGTGGAATGGGCATGGAGGGATGACATATGAGGGGTTGGAGGAGCCAATGCTATCTGGATTTGTGGCACCTAAGTGTGGGCATTTAGAATCTCTTAACCTGCATGCCTTTATTTGGTGTATCAGTGATCCATGGTGATGAGTTATCCAGGCTTCACTGTGGATGCCTCAGCTAGGTGCCCAAAGCTGGGGTCAGTGAAGCCTAGTTTGGGGCTGGCGGCTGATGGGACTTGTCCCAGCCATTCGGAACCTCGAGGTGCCCACTGGCTCAGGTCCCCCAGGTGAGATGGTCTTCTCCACATCCTCTTGGAGAGCTGTTGGGTTGCTCTTCCTTTCCATGTGGGTAGGATGGATGCAGTGACCAACACCTGAGTGCTGCTGGAAACCTTCAGCGCTCACAGTTCCATCTGGGTGGAGATCTGCATTTGTGTGTGCAGTCCTGATGCAATGGATGGGCTGAACCATCAAACTTCAAACCCTGCAAGTTGGCCTGACTTGTACTGAGCGTTCCCACTCTGCCAAGAACCTGACCTAGAGTGCTTTGAATGCACATTTGTGGGGTGGCCAAGCACATCCTCCACCTGTAAGGAGCTGGCAGGGCGGGGACCTCTGGTGCAAGCAGACACCTTTGCACTGCTGTAGATAACAGCATACACTTGAAAAAAGACCCACCTGTCTCTGTGGAATTAAGGTGTGGTGTTTCATGCTGGGTTGCCTTTGGAAGAGTCTGTCAGAGCACAGACTGTGCTGGCTGCGGAAGAACTTTGAATGGCAACAATTTTTTTTTCCTGATGTCAGAGAGGTAGAGCATCTTAGAAGCTCATTTCCCCACCAGGGTAACAATTCAGGTGAGTGGCATCACCAAGGGCTGGGGAAGGGGTACAAGGACTCCAGCAATGGAGGAGAATTCATCCTCACATCCTTTCATTCCATGGATCATCCCCCGAACCCAATGAAAAGTGGGATTTTGTGGAGTGGGATGTGCCTGAGAACCTGCTACCTGATCTGACCTTTTCAATCTCACTGTGCTGTACTGCAGGTGTGAGCAGGAGTCCATTTTTCTGTAAGATAAACACTGCAACCCAACTGTAGTCAAAATGACAGTTTTCTTGTATTTCTCATGCCCTGTTTTTGGACACCGTTTTTCCCAAGAAATGTTAATATTCTACTTATGCTCAGGCAGGAAGAGAAAGAGGACTTCCCTTCTGGAAAAGCAGTTTTGTATGGGTCAGGAATGTTCAGGTTTTGCTTGAAAGTCCTGATGAAAACCAGAGCATAGAAAGCAAACCTGGGTAGTTTAAAGTTAAACAGCAAATACAAATCCAGTGCTTTTATTTTCTATGTTGAAAAACATTGTTTTTTTGGCCTCAGGGTCAGCCCAGATGAATATCTCTGTACCACCCATGTGGGGCTGCCCACCTCGCTCCAGCCCTCATCCCTTCCTAGATCCTACTAGGCATCACACAGGAGTTGCCTACAGGGGATGGTGAAATCATCTCACATCTGCCCAGTATGGCACATAAGCATTCAACAAGCAGAAGTGCAGAGTCCAGCATAGGAGAGGAACAACCCCAGGCACCAGGACATGTGGGAGACACCCAGATGGCAAGTAGCTCTGATAAAATGGGCCCAAAAGTCCTAATGGGCACCAAGTTGAGCAGAAGTCAGCAATGTGTCCTTGCTGCTGAGAAAGCTAACAGCATTCCTGCCTGCATCAGGCAATGTGTCGCCAGCAGGTCAGGATTTCTGGCCATGATCATGTCTGAACATCAGCTTTTGAACATCATCAGAGGAGATTCCACAGCCTTTGGGCAGCCTGTGCCAGTGCTCCATCACCCACACAGCACAGAAGTGCTTCCTGAAGGCCAGAAGGAACCGCCTGTGTTCCAGACTGTGCCCAAGCAAAGCTGAAGTGCTGTGTTTGAAATTATGGCTTCTCTGGCAAGCAGTGTTAAAAAAACAGAGACTGAGAAGTACAAGGCCCAAACCCATCCCATTTAACAAAGTGCCCTGCAGCACAGTCCGTGGGCTTCTTACTGGAAGAGAAACCTGGCATCCTCCTTTGGCATGACACAATGTCCATCACACTGCCATGTCCATGGAATCGCCATGTCCACTGCCTCAACCGCAATCACTGAGAGCTGCAGATTGAAAAGACATGACCTTCAGCAAGAGCAATAGATTTTTCAGGACCTGTGTTTGCAGTACAGACCTGCACTAAGGACCAGGACAAGTACACAGAGGGGCGTAACACTTCCAGGACTAGAGCTTTCCCCAAGTGTTCTGCTGACCCCGTCCTGAGCACTCGGTAAATAAAGCACTGAAGAAGAGGCAGGTTTTATCAGTTTTATTTAACCAATGAAATTCCTACTGATAACAATGAAAGTAATTTCAGCAAGTATAAATGCAATACAGTTTTAAACAAACCCCATTGTTCCGTACCTATAAATAGATTTTTCAAAACCTCATAAAAAGTGCAGATTTGTGAATTGCTGTTAAAATGTTAATACATGATTCCTTTGTTTAAAAATGCATTTTTGTCTCTTAACTCACAAAAAAAGTTCCTTCTGCATCTGTTCAGATAAATTCAAGTCGGGTAACTTAAAAACTAAAAAAAAAAACAAAATCACACGCACCAAAAAAAAAATAAAAAAAAAAAAAATCAACCCATCCCAATAGGTCAGTCTGTCCTCTGCAACAACAACAAAAAAAGAAAAAAAAAGATATACCAATCAGCAAAAATAGAACAAAAAATGGTAAAAGCTGCTGTGGACACCCACAGTTCGCTCCTAGCAGCTGCCATGCCTTGCAGGCAAACCTCCGCTACAGCACAGACCCTGCAAGCTCTGCCCAGAGCTGAGGGCAGGCGGCAGCCCAAGGGACAATGCGGGGACGTGTCCCTGTGCCACCCATCGCCCAGCAGAGCAGAGCTGCAGGGGACGTGGTGGGACGGAGCAGCAGGATCAGAGCTTTGTCTCTCTTCTTCTGTCCCCAAACAGGGCAGAGCTGGCAGCAGCCACGGAACGAGGCGCTCCCTGTCCAGACGGGAGAGCTGCAGTCAGCAGGGAGCTGCCTGCCTGCTGGGGTGGCCCTGCACCGTGCTGCTGATGGGAGGCTCAGACCAAGGCCATCTCTGGACAACCACCCGAACGGGGAGCAATTCCTGCCCTTAGCAGCCAGCCTTTGTGGCCATCGGACCAGAAGCCCATCTGCGTACAGCAGAGAGGCCTGGGAGCTACGCTCCCCACCTTGGCCTGGCAGGCTGACCCAGCGCTGGGCCATCTGTCTGTCTGCCTGTCTGTCCCTCCTCGCCAGCAAGGCTTCCTCCGCACTTGGGTTGCTGTGTGCAGAGGGGATGAAGTGACCTGCTGGGGCGAGGAGGGCCGGGCCTTGCAGCTATGGCCTGCGCAGGCATGGCTCAGCATGGCTGGGCATTGCCAGCTCAGCGCTGCCAGAGCTCCTCCTGCATGGACAGTGGTATTCCACCTACAGCAGGGTCTGTTTAGCACGAGCAGTTTAAAGTGGCTATGTTTATCAAGTTTGCTACCTTATGAATTTAAAAAAACAAAACAAAACAACAAAACAACCCCCCCCCAACAACTATAAATACAAAGACTCTCACTCACCAGACACTCGCAGCCGGTGTGAATCATAAACCGCATCAATATTCTGTTAAAAAGCTTATTCTACTCAAAACTATACATAGTACAAGAGATTGAAAAGTGGCAGTGGTGTACGGCCGCACTGCCCGCCCAGTGGCCCACAGTCAGGTGCTTCATAGAAATCAAGGAGTTACAGTAACAAAGCACGGGACTGCAGAGCCCATCACAGCTTCTGATTACACTGCATACAAAGTACCAAGGGAAACACAAAAAAGAACTGGTGTTAATACTGATGAATTAAAGAGTAACTATAAAGATCAAAACAGACGTTCACAGCATGCTACATATATTGCTCACAAACTTTTTTTTCCTTTAAAAAAAAAAAAAAAGAGGCTAATACAAAACAAGAAGTTGGCAGTCTGATTTTCAGTTACGTCAGATAGAAAGATAAAGCATATACATTCATTATATAGCTCTCCAGCAAAAGGAGAAAGGGTAAAACTGAGAGATTTCAAGTTTACAGAATTCCTATTTTTTTAAGCTACCGTTTATATCCAGTTCCGATCAATAGCCGTGGAATATTGGTGCCTGTGCCTCCTCACAGAGTCCCAGGGATGCAGCCTAGTCATTATGGTTTCCCTGTGGGAACATCTTTTTGCCCTGGATGCTGGAGTGTCTCATAGGAAAGCCGAATCATAGAACGGCTCAGGTTGGAGGCCGCCTTAAAGCCCACCGGTTCCAACCCCTCTGCCACGGGCAGGATTGCCATCCACCAGATCAGGCTGCCCAGGATCCCATCAACGTGGCCTTGAATGCCTCCAGGAATGGGGCATCCACAACTTCTCTGGGCCTCCAGCCCTCCGCAGCCCCACTGGCCTGGCAATGGATGAGGAGGGAAGCAGAAAGGAAGGCTGGTTTGCATCTGGTGGCAGGGCATGAGCATGGAGTGGTGAATGAGGAGCATGCTTTATGCAGCCACATGAGAAAGGTTCCCTTCTGCTCTCCATCCGTGGAGAAAGAAAAGGAAAAAGCTTTCCAGAGCAGCTTGGGGTTTCATCCTTGAGAAAATCTTGGAAGAAGGTATTTCTTACTGCCTCCTCTACGCATGGACATGCATATGAACCTTTCAGACACATCAGTGAAGCTTCTCTAACTGACTAAAGTGTCAACATCCTCCTGTACCAGGTGCATCCCCTCCAGAAAGCCCGTTTTTGATTCCTACAGCAAGAGCTTCTGCCCGCATTTAGTATATTCATCGGCAACTTAAATACTGGCTCTACCTACTGTAACAAGGGCAGAATTTGAATTCCTACCTTCCATGGACTCTGATCAACATCCAAATGTGTCTGCACCTCAAGTAACTAAGTTTGTAATCAGAGTTATCCCTCGAATAAATGAAAAACCCAAACCCATTTGTTCTGAAGGCCACCTGTGTCTGTCCGATTATGGGGAACGCCGCTTGGGAGGCCCTGTTGGTGCCTGCCCTGCACCCATCCACGCTGCACATGAGCAACTCAGAATTCCCATGACAACTCCCTGTAAGAAGCCTGCCCAGCTCCAAGGCTCAAACAGGTGTGTTTTGCCAAAGAAAGCATTCTGCCAGTGGATCCACTGGATTATTCCTCTAATTCCACAGATGGAACATGATGCAATACTAGCAAAAACTACTTCAATGTTTTAAGCAAGTACTAAGTGCCATACTTTACACTAGATATTTCCTACCCAGAAATAACCTGATCCTGGAATTAAGTGTTTCTGAACAGGAGAAAGGTCCTCTGAACTCAGCAATGAATGGTAATGTTAAGAAGTGCACCTTGTTCTACACTGTTTTACAGGGTTATGGCTGTAAGGCTGTCTCTGCAAGATTGCTGGGGGCTGTGAGTTAGAATGATAGGAAGCATGTAAGGTGGGGTGGTGGCAGCAGGCTGAAAAACAACAGGTTTTGCCCCTGGTGAGCAGCAGCAGAATTAAATGTCTACAAGAGAGATCTGATGTGCACTGAGTGGGCAGCTGCATGATGGCCTGGCAAGAAAACTTGCTCTAAGAAATAAATTATCACCGTTCAAGATGCACCTCCAGTTTCCTCATGTCACTGTGTATTTCCACCTCCCACCACTGTGATCCATGCAGTAGGTATGAAATGTCAAATTAATTTTCAACTGCAGATAAAAAGCTGCATTTAAAATTTCCAAAGGTGAAAAAACTGGTGGGTGCATCTCTTTAGACCACCATACCATGCTGGCTACATTAGGAAGAATAAATCTAAGGCTCAGGTGGGGAAAATTGACATTTTTGTCCAGCTCTTGGAATGACAGGTTAGTGGCAAACCAATTCTAACAGATATATTCAGATCAGTACTGGGAAAGTTCCCTTACTGTGAATTCAACCCCACCTCTATTTTGTGCAACATCATCCCTTATTTAGGGGAGAACAATCTGAACACCTAATAAAAGCATCTGAAAGAAAATCAGCTGAGTTTAAGAAGATCTGGAATACATTCACCTGGCCAAAACTCGTAAGTCCTGGCACAAGCTATCCATTTGCTAATGGCAGCTGATCTTTTCTGCAAGCAGAGGTGAAATAATCCAGCTCTTCAAAAAGGGAGTCCAAACTCTGGAATATGAACCTGAAATGCATGTTGATGTCCATGGAAAACACACATGCATGAGAAACAAAAACCTGTTTTGCAAGAGCATCAGCTTACAGTTTAACTTCTTTTGGAAAGACTGCTCTATTTTAAGCCTCCCCAGAAACCCATTTTGTTAACAATTGCTGCAAATCACATGGATCTGCTTCATATTATTCCCTCAATCTCTATGGAAACTGCTTGTATTCTGTTGATCGTAGGCGATTAAGTATCTTTAAAAAACTGACTCAAAAATGCAAGTGGGCACCTTGTAGAATTTTGCCGAGTGCTGAGTTGCTTAAATTCCCACTGAAATTCTGGCAACACGCTGCTCTTCCCCAATCCCATGAAAGCATCTCTCAGCATTGCTATGAACAGAGCTACTACTGAGGAATCTGGTGCTGTGACCTTCTGCACTCAAGTGAGAGAGAAGCAAAATGTGTTCTTCTGTGTTCTGCTCTAATCTGTTCTACATTTGTACTGAGCTCTACATTTGTAGTTGTTCATAATCACGGATTTCCCTGTGCTTTAAGGACTTCTTTAATACACGGGAAAAGCTGATGTGGCAATCTGCTAGTTCTTAAAGCTGAAAGTACATCCTCTTCACTTTAATGAAGGCTTTAGGATTTTTGAACCACTAAAAATAAATCCATCTACAGCTTACCAAAATTTTCATAGGCTATCTCAACACCACTTTCAATAGCTATCTCCCAAATTCTACCTTCGTTTAAAATAGTTTCTGCTCCAGCATGATGACACTCTTGTGATGTTCAGCTGTGGGCAGAATATTCTGGAAAATGCAAATGTTTCTCCCAATTAGTATCTTTTCCATTTCTCTTCATTACCAAGAAAAAAAAGGAACAATTTCAGTGATAATGTACTCTATCAATCAGAACACACATTTTACAGTGATTCTGCAATGACAAGAAGCTGTCCCAGCTCAAAAGCTCCATTCCCTACTTACATTCCCTATGCTAGCTATTTAATTTGTACCTAACAAGCTTTCTCTTCACAGACAGGAGACTGCACACTTTGTGTTACGATGGTCACAGCTGGGATTTTGTGCACTAACATTAATGCTGGTAAATATCAATTCCAATAAAGGAACACAGATGGAGAGTTATCTACACTTCCAACAATTACTGTACTCCCCAGAATAATATTAATGATCAAAGCGTGAAGATTCACATTCATGAGTGCTTTCAAAATGCAAAAAGTCCAAGAACACTTGCATGTGAAGATTTGGCACAGTGCGACCCAAAGCATGCATGAAGCACATGGTAGAACTGCACGACTTTAAAGAGCTATTCTGAACAAACGCCTATTAAAAATCATAAATCTGAGTATAAAAACTAAGCTCTAAACTGTTATGCTGTAAATGCCATACTCTGGAAAAAATAAATGCCACATCCAAAACATTTTCAGAAGTTTCAAGTTTGCTTTTAATATTAGAAAAAAAAAAAAAAAGGAATAGCAAACTACTTGACATTTCCTGCAGCGGAATGTCTCGCAGGCCATATGTGACTTGATATGGCACTTAAAGAAAAAGATTTCTGACTTACTACAAATTTTATGGAGCAATCCATTTATGGTTTCTGTATTTCAAATCTGCTCGTGTACTTTGCTCAGAAGGCATCTGAGTTGGCAAGTATATTTCATAAGGAAAGAAGTAAAGGCACTCATGTTTCCAAACACAAAACCCAACCTACTCAAAGGGCCTTCGCATTTCTGAAGGGAAACTAAGAGGTCATATTCCTTACCCAAATGCAGTTTCACCTCCTTTCCAGAGCTCAGCTGTGCTTCTTGAGAAATACTTGACTTTTCAAAGCAAAGGAATTTAAAGTAGTACTGTACAGTTGTCATCACTTGGAAAAAGAAAGAAGTATTGCATGAAAAGGCCTCTCAGAAGACCTGCTGTATGCACAAAAGCCATTCGGTGTGGCCACTACAGTTACAATAGGTAGGAATAAGAAAGCTAATCTAAGTTCATATATCTTCATGTCCTAACGCTTCTGAGGAATCTCTGCAGTCAGCTATAAAAATAAACACACCTGATGTTTTACCCAGTGATCTCTCTAGAAGAGACTCTGATGCTGTCTATCAGACAGCTGTCTAAATAGCCAACATTACATTTCAGAAAAGAAAGAAAAATCACTGATTTCTTCCTCAAAAGCTTTCCACATGCAGGACCTGCAGCTGGAAAGTGCAGCCAAGTGTACAATCATTCAGCCTTCCCAGCTGGAGCAGATGGACAGAGCGGGTAAACCGACATGCGAAGTCACGGCACTGCCTCGGGAAAAGGGAAGAAACCCATTTCAGATGCACACTGGTCCACGATTTTCTCAATGAAAAGTATGACTGCACCGGTAATATTATCATTTTCAGAAACTATTCTGTCATCAACAGATAGAAATCCTGTATTATCTCCTAAAATACCACGGAATATTAAAAGTAAATCTATCCAGTGAGCTCTGCGTGTATGCAACGGAAAGAAAGGTCACTCTCCTCTAAGTACTACAGAAAGTCCAAACTGAGAGAAAAGTTTATGCAGTGACAACTTACATCCATCTGGGTAAGCTTAAGCATCTCTTTAGGCACTTCACTGGTTCATTAAATGCAATACAAAATAAAGCTATAAATATCAGCATTTTGTGCTCTTAAAACTAGTCAAAAGCAACAGAAAACAGCACAAAAGTGTGACATTTTTGGCAGCTTATTTCTTCCCTTCCCCAATATTACCAGTTGTCTAAGAATGCTTTGTTTTGGGGATGCTTTGGCATCTCAGTATCAGGTTGTCTTAAGCCACAAAAGCTAAAACAAAACTGCTAGGCCTTAGACAATAAAGAAATTTGGTTTTACAATTTCTTTATGGCTATAGAAGAAGGACACTTTAGCAGTGACATGATAGGGAAAAAAGCTTGCTTTTTTTAATATTGCACTTTTCTTTTGTTCACCCACACTAATGCATAGAAACTTTTTAAGCTTTGAACATTTCATGCTATGAAGAAGTTATGGGAAATAAATTCCTATACATCCAATACGACAGAACAGATACGCTAGCCTTCCTTTACTTTCCTTACTTAAAACATTGAGAAAGAAGAGAGTGCAAGAACCCCACAACCCTATTTTTGGTCAGCCTGTATCAGCTTTATAGGTGCCAACTCAACAAACTGCAACGTGTGATGAGCATGGACATTGTAAAGACAACTGAGGGTGGTTGTCAGTAAAACAAGATTAGGCATGATTCAAACACAGTAAGTGTAGCTGAAATGGCAAATTGTGAGGGCTCTCCTCTTGGGAAGAGACACGATAAAGCAGATGACTTTTGCACTTCAGTAGCATGCTGTAGAATTTGTCATGATTAATTTCACATTAAAGCGTGGTCAAGGTTTGCATCCACATTTCACATCACCTTCAATTGCTGTAGTAAGACAGTGACTGGCAGGCAGTCTCCAGGAGACACAGAAGAATCCAGTGGGCAATTCAATGCAACACAGCACGTGCATCTCTGTCAGAGTTATGAGCTGGTGGCACGCTCTCAGAACAGGCAGAACCAATCTTCTGCTGGACTCCACTAAACTGAAAAATGATTGCTTGGAAAAGAAGTCTCTAAGCACTTCACTCCCTTGCTTAAAGAACAAAGCGCTAGAATTGAATATAATAAAAAGAGTTTTAGGATTCTGACCACCGTGCAGAAATCCAACCGGAAACAATGCAGAGTAGTGCTCCTCAGTGTTACTTTTGTTATCATTAGTAATGTTAAGCATCAAGAAAATAAAACACGTCATTGCACATTACAGCCGTCAAGAAACACGGCTTAACTTTGACACTATAGAATCGAATAACCTGATGCTACATCACAAACAGCTTCTGGTGTGTATCTATTTCAAAAGGTCTTTACATACTCAGTAAAAATTCCTTTACTCCCTCCCAGTGAATGCTTCAGGTTAAGTGACGAGTTATGGCACGAAGGGCGTACAGAAGTTCTGCTTGCATACGAGCTTCCATTAGAAGTAGATTGACGTGAACCTGTTAGAAATTAAATCAGACGTTCAGTTCACTGCTGAATGCAGGATCATTTATTTCATTTATTTATGCCACCATCTGGAACCTTTGGCAAAGTATCACGTCAAGAAATGAGGTCCTTTCTCCCTGCTCCTGCTGCAAGACTCCAGTTCCTTTTGGGACGATGTCCTACGAACTAACATTGCCTGCTTTAAGGGACCTTCAATCTGAAAAGTCCCAACAAAACCACTTCTGTACCCTAATGGCATAGCTCTTCAAGAATCATACTTTCTTTGGTTTTCTACCACTTATGAATGCCATATAGGAACATAGAATAAGGAACAATTTATACACCGGACAGGCAGGCATGAAAGCACTAAACCTGTCAGGAAATATTTAACTTAGATATCTGAAGACATGTTGACAATTTCACTGATGAAAAGCACTGTGAAGATTATATTTATATGGAGTAAGCTCTTTTTTGATCCACAAATCCAAAGCATTGGCACGGTTGACTGCATCTGCATCTGCATTCCCAAGTTTATCCACTTTTCTATTACAGATGTCAGTTCAATGTTATGCAGAAGTCACTCAAAGCAAGAAAAAACACAAAAAAACGATCAATACCACCAGCACACTACTAAGTATTTTCATAAGATTGATATTTAACATTCAATGAATTAATCTCATTTGTTTTTCTCTAGTTACAAACAGTTTGGGAAATACAGCCACTTTTAGGAGTCACAGAATGATAGAATGGTTTGGGCTGGAAGTGAATTTAAGATCCTCTAATTCTGACCCTCTGCTACAGGCAGGGAGTCACCATAGTTTCATCTATGAACAGCATGTGGGCCTCTGTGCAGCCAGTCTGGCTGTGCAACACGTACCTTCTCCGAGTGCTTGAACTGACGCCAGTAACTGTCGTACATGCGCTTGGTAGTTCTCTCTGGGTAGCAGGTCACTGTCTTTATGTAAACCTTCAGGCTGCGTTCAAGTAGCTGATTAACTTCTCCATAATCATAGTCATCATACCTACATAACAAAGGCAGGAATTCTGTTGGACAGGCATTCTTAAAAGCACGGTCATTTGCAGCATTAGATTCTGATCTTTTGCAACATTAAGTTCTTATGCTTAGGAATTCAAGCACTTGTTATATATGCTAGAATGCATTCTGCTAACAGGGGAAAGGCTCACTACTGGGATGCTGTCTTTTCCGAGCAGAGAATACAGGCTGGTTTCAACCCGATTCATAATCATTCATATGACTCATAATCATAATTCACTGGAAGTAAAAGCTTTACTGACACGGCAGAGAAACCACTCAACTTCCAGACTGAGGTACTAACTCCACCTCTACACCCAGAGTCTAAGATGATGCTTTTCACACCATTCAATTTTCATTTGGTGCTGACAGTTTTGAATGTACTCCTTAGCCAGGGGTTTTCTTCCATACCTGATTCCATACATACAGTGGACATAGTTAAATAAAGCTCTTCTTAATGTAGTTGTATCAACATCTTCATGTGTTGCCATAGTGTTATACGTGAGGTTATACACCATCCGGAACTTTTCATCGAGGAGATGCCCGATGTCAGAATAAAGCCTGTTCACGAGGGAAAAGCCATGATTTTCCCAAGTATAGTCCTGAAGGAGAAAAAGGAAAGAAATAAATATACAAGGGACATGAAGTCCCTGTGATTCTTTCAACAGCTCAACACTTTTTTGTTGTCTGTGAGTAGCTTTGCTCTCCTCCAAAGAATCTTTCATTTTGAATCTTTCGTTGGTATCACCTGCTCCATTCTGCCAGGTCTCCTTCTCCATGAGTCACATCACAACTGCCCATCTTTGGTTGGCTATCACCATCCTATGTGAGAAAAAAGCCCCAAGCCTGTTCTGAAGTGCAGGGGCAATTTTTCACTGCTCTGCTGCTTTGACCAGTGCCATTCTGAACAAGATAGACTTGCAAAACTTAGAAATTTATTCCTCTAGGGGGTTTTAGTGCTTAACTCCAAGCAGAAGCAGAGTATGCACTTCCATCCAGGATGTACAATCACTGGGCAAAGCGCTGAAAAATCTTTGAACAAAGTAATAAAATCCAGGTCCTAGCCAAGCAGCTAGATTGCAAGAGCAAAAGTATGCCTGTTTGCACGAGGAATAGGAAATCTTTGCATGGTGACGGCATGGCATCAGCAGCAGAGGAGAATGACCCTATATGCATTAGAGCAGCATACAACCACTCTCCATGTTGTGGTTATACAGAACATGTTAGTTTGCCCACATCCTTGGCAAGTGTTCCGTTACTCCATCACGGACTCTCTACAACTGAGGGCATCATCTCCACATCCTTCTCTTGCCTGGCTGTTTTCCAGAAGTACTGTGGGGCAAGGGCTTCACTCACTTGCTTTAGAGCTCATCTACCAGACTGAATCCCTGATTAGGACTAAGGGAAGTATCAAGAAGGATAACGTTCAGCTGCTTAAAATTGGAATTCAGTGACATCTGAAATGCTCCAGGTCCCACTTGACCTCCAGTTGCCAGTCCAAACAACCACAAAATTTGGGAGCTATGCCTTATCCACCTGGCCCTGCAGAGATGTCAAGTACATCCAAGGGACATCACAAATGCTTCAAAAACAGAAACCCCAGGATGGGGCAAAGCAGTGCTTACTGACAACAGCTGATTTATAGCAATCGTGGTAACGTTTTAAGACACTCTGCTGTGTGTGAAGTACCTCTTTCTATCACAGAATTTAAATGCACAGACACAAATGATAGTCTTGTTTCAACAGAATAAGGTTTGGATTTATTGCAGAGTTTTGTGATGCTGCTTCAATTTAAGCAGCATTAATAGCAGAGTATTTGGATGCTGTGGGTATGTACATCGAACTACTTTGGAGTAGGCCACACTAATAAAGTTAAATTGCTAAGGTGACTCCTTTGAATACAGGCCAGAAGCTGTCTTGTTGATTTAAGAGCAGAGACATTTTAGTTCCAATTTCAACTTTGGTTGAGTTTTTTTCCATGGGAGCCTGCTGTTCCTAAAGTATTTAAGCAGTATGTTTGATTTACAGGCTCTGACTCTGCCTTATTCTTTTTGGCAGTATCTACTTACTTCAGACTCATATGAAGACCACAGAGTAAATTATCCAGACCAGCAATGGCTGCTATATAGCTAAATACATTTCCTGAAAGTGATCACAGATTTTTTATTTTAAAGTCTTGGATACATCTTCTGACCATGGAGTTATACTGCACCTACTGTGATTTACTTGAAGTTCTCTGTTTCGGTTTAAGATTTCTTCCATTCCTTACAATTTATCACTAGACTGCTTATGAATCTACTCTATAACCTGGAACAGAACCATCTAGAAGGTCTCTGCTGTATCATATATTACACAAAGGCTTATGAGTCTGGTCATGGACAAAGATACCATATGTAAGACACGGTACAGACAGAAGACAGTTCTTTCAACAGCACTGAATATTTATATATTCATAAAGAGTCAGAAACCTCAGTGTTACAGTAATCATATTTAAGAACTCTTTTTCTTTTCAGACATTCAAATTTCAGTGCTGTGGTGCATCTGCAGGAAGGATTTCACCCAATCACTCTCACAGACACAGACAGATCTATTCACTGATAACTCCAGGCAGAGAGCACTTGAAACAAATGGCAGGAATAAAGTATTCTTGCAGTATGGTCTCTTTCACATTTGGAGGGACAGAAAAGGATTCTTTCTTTTTTACCTTTTGCTTTTATTCCAGACTAAGTGATACGCTTTACAGTTTTCAAGTATTAATTCTGCTAATACTTGGAATACGACTGAAAATGAAATCTCCTCTTGTTTGAGATTTACAAATTGTAAAAGACTCATTGCTGGTAAATTTATAGAGGATTCCAAATTATTTAATGGACCATAACACGAAAAAGCACATGTAACAAACATGCCCCACTACTTCACCTTGTCCTGCAATGACAGCTGCATATATCCTTTGAGCGAACGTGCTTTAAAGAGACGCTACCTGAGCTCTGAATGTTGGCAGATGGTCTTCTCCTCGCCGTGCAAAGTCTTTGTACCCAAACCCAGGATCTTCAACGTAGCGGGAGACATCTGTAGAAACTATTTCATCATCAAATGCTGTGAGAAAAAAACAGCAAAACGCTTTGCTTTAGGCAAGCACAGGAGTCAGCTCTGACTTCAAATTACCACTCTACTGCAGCTAGAAGGCAACTTAACAATGTGCAAAGGAAAAGTGTGGTATGAAGGAAGGAAAAAAGTCCATCTTCATCTTCTACGGAGTCCATCCTTCTCCTGGAGCCTACTTATCAGCCTACACTGGACATCAAGATTACTTCTCCAAGATGGGAAGAGATAAGCTAAACTTCTGGAGAGGTCCTCCTCTTTCAGTTCACTTCTGAGACAGGCTAGGTATCTTAGACAAGATGAATCCTGTTAGTAAAGTTATTAGATTAGAATAAGAGACAGAAAAATAATCCTGTTGACAACCAGATTGTTATGCTGAGCAGATTGTGTACGAGCAGGTACAGTGTCCAGAATTACATCAGCTGTGATCTGTAACAACCCAGAACAAGAACAACAAGAGAGCAATGCAATTCTGCACTTGTAAATATCAACAGAAAATTACATGAAAGTGAAGAGCTCTATAGCACTGGCTGAAATTCTGCCAGAAGCCCCAGTAACCAGGCATCTTCAAAGAGCTCCAAAATGTGTCACTAAGCAAGTGTGGTTCACTATCAGGAATCAATCTTTCCCTCCCGAATAAACAGGTGGTCTGGTTGTGTAACTACCTTTGCAGAAGTTGACTACTGCATAGATGACTGCATTTGACCCTGATGTTACAATCCTGGCCTGCTTCCACGTGCATCGACAGAACAGTTGCCATATGTCCACTACAAAGTCGGTTAGCCTAAGAATTGCAGAAGTGCTTTATCTCCTCTCTGCCTCATTAAACAATCAAAACATAACTGCGTAGGAAGAAGATTGAGCAGCATCTGCTAAAGCGAATCCTCAGTGAAGAATTTAACACCTGCATTCACACACCCCTCTCCCCAGCAGTGCTGGATTCCGTGGAAGGATACAAGACATGGTGCATGCAGACTCCTCACCTCAAACCCAGCAAAGGAAAGACTGGCAGCAACATTAGCAAAAAAAATCCCTCCTAGCCCAAACAACACCTCATGCTTAAAAGCTTGAGTGGCAGAGACTTCCGGAAGTCCAAATTTGAAAATGCAACCGCAGTGGGTCTCAGTTCATCAACACAGTTGAGTCTGTCTAAGTGAGAATGGACAATGTCTGCTTCTGAACATCCAACAATGACGTTGGTGGAAATCTGCCTCAGAGCTTTTGGACATTCTTAGAAAGCCACAGAACAATCAGTGCCAACTCGCAGAACTCTTCCTCTCTTTTGGGCTTGGTGCACAAAACCTGAAGTACTTCAGATGTGTTTGTTCTGGCTAGTATTCTGAACAAGAAGAAGCAATTCACCACTAGTGCATATTTTTGGCTTTCTTACCAGATTCTCTTTGAAGTGACTGATATCATTAAATTCATACTGTCCATACAGTTTGTGACATTTTATGAGTTGTTCCTCAAAGAGATAAAGCTATGATATTCAGGCAACCCCTAACATAAAGAGATGGCTGGAGATTCTGACTGTCTTAACAATCTTCTTAAAATGCTTTGGGAAAAAGCACTGGGAAAAAAAACCTTGGTGTCAGTGCAGAATACTTCATTGCATCATTTGTTGGAAATGAAAATTGAAATAGTCTGAAATAAACTGAACGCTAAGCAATCTCTGACATCATACCAGTAACAGAAAAGCACAGAAGAATGATCACTAAAAACAGCAAGTTAGAGAGGAGGCATGAATGAATAAATCTGAAAACACAGAGCATATAAAGAAAGTGGAGTTTACATTCAAACTCTTACAGAAACCTATGGGTTTTTTTTGTTTTATTTTTCTAAACACACAAAAGCTAAATTTCAAGAAGCAAAATGGATGCTGGTATTTGCCAATAAGGAAAGGTTAAAGAGACGAACCAAGTGAACCTTACCACGCTTTTACTAAGCCAAGATCCAGCACAAAGAAATGGGCAAAAATGCTGTAGGCATTGAACTTTACTCTTTGTTTATTTTATGCAAAGCCCCCAAAAAATCCAACTTAAACTGAAAAAGCATAAATACATAAATACCTCCACTAATTACTAGCAGACTCTCCTTCTTCTCCTTCTCAAAGCGAGTGTCCATTTCTTCCTGAGAGGCTTCTTCATCCTCTTTATCTTCTTGCAGCCTCTTCATCCTCTCCATCAAGGCCTCCAGCTCACTTAAGGAATCTGCAATCTGCAAAAACATCAAGACGTTCTTTAAAATCAGAAGACAGACAGTGTGTCATCTTCACAGTTCATGCTCAACAATAAGCGTTCTCAAAAAAAAAAGAGCAGCAAATATGAAAGCTTAAGCCAGAATTCCTCGTGTAATACAGAGTGTAGACAAACAGCTTTCAGAAAATCAGGAGAAGGAAAGAGGCAGGTGTTGCTCTCAGCTATCACAGCACACTGTAGCACGATTAACAGTGGAAGAGGCAGTGTTTGAACATGGAGAACACGGTTGCTTAAAGTGCATTTTCCCCCATTAAGATTGCTCAGGAAAAGACAGCTAAATGCCCTACATGCATACGAAGCCAACCTTTATGGTACTTTTACTCAATCTACTGGTAATACAAAATATCTTACTGAGGAGATACAGCGCAATACAGGAACACAACCTGAGACAGAAAAACAGAGTTTTCCTTTTTTTTTTTTTTTTTTAATTTCTATCCATTCTGTGTGCTCAGAACAACTATTACATGGAGCTTTTTTCTTGTTCTTGTGTGGAAAACTGTTCTCTTCAACAGAAATACATCAAAGTTTGGAGCTTGGTGATCTGCATTCACCATTTTCCACAAGGTGAACTGCCTGGTCTTTCTTTTCCACCTTTTCTTCTTGATTCCAGCTTTCTGCCCCTAACTGTGAATGTCTCTCAGTGTAGCACTGCCTGCTTACCAAGCTACCTACAGCCAGCAGCAGCCCTCTGCCCACTACCAATGCAGAGTAACACATTGTGGTGATTTAAACTGGCATGTCTTACAGCCCAAAAACTTCGCTTCGGATGCGCTAATGGAACTGATGGATCACAAACTCACATTGCAAGCTGACTGCTGGTTTGGAAAAATGCATCTACTGACTCTGCTCACAATCCTTATATTCCATAAAGGAGATGGGGCTAATTCACCAACTGATATTAATTCAAGGGCTTTTCTTCAAAGGCAATTTTAGGAAAAAAAATGCATTTATGTTAAGTCCTCTCTTGGTTCACTCAAGACCAGAACACCTGCATGAAGAACCATGCCATTTATTTCAGACATTTCCTCTCAGCCACATGGAAGTGTTTTTCAAAATCAACCTGCTTTGTGATCACAGACCGTGAAGTCAAAACAAATAATGCAACCTCTGCTGCTTTCTTCCCATTTCTTTTTTCATTCCACATGGTCGGAACATGGGTAACACCGTGTTCTTATCAGTGATACGCCATCTGCAGACACTGGCACTTTAAGTTTCCAACTGGAAGCATAGTTTTAGTCTTGCTCAATGGGTTGTGAGATTAGCTATTAAAATCACATTACTTTAACTATCATCCTCTGTTTCAGTGTGGTTTGAAAAGGATTACACAGCAACTGCTAAAGCTAATGTAAGAGTAACCAGACCCAAGCATTTCAGAAAATAGACAAAAACTTTCAAACTACCCTGAAATTTAAACAGGAAAGAATGGAAGAAAGCTTTCTAATGCAAAACAGAGGCAAGCAAAAAGAATCTTCTTGCAACACTAACCCCAAAGTTGCTACTTGTGAGGGATGCATTTTCTATGTTGTTGTCATTGGCAAGATCACAGACACAGAAGTTGTTGACTGCTATAAGTCTGACTCCATTAGATGTATCCGGATCTCTCTCTGGATTAATGCCACTACCAAATACAAAACTTGCCAAGGCATGATAATGTGCCAACAGGACAACAGCATGCACCAGTTCAGGAAGAGACCAATTATTTTCCCCAGTCTTGACAAGTTTCTGAAATGAGAATAAAAAAAGTGTAAATATAAAATTTCTTTTGGCCCCCAGCTTTTGTATAAGATGCTATGCATGACTTTTAAAAAGGGATCAATTCCTTTCTTCCAATAAATACCATACTCCTCTCGCACACAAACACTCACTAGATTAAAAGAGAGAGGCCTGATATATCATCTCGATTCTCCCAGGGTTATTTTAGTCATTGCTACTTCTAAAAAATAGATCTTGTTGCCTTTGTCACACAGCAGAATTTATTGGCTTATTCGATGCTCTAGAACTTCCCCGAATGTTTTAACTCAAGGTAAAAAAAGTCTAACCAGACACAGCTTAGCTCTCAGCAGTTCTTATTACTGGACATTCACTGCTATTATAAGGCACAATTCAACAGATACCTGAATGTGCTCTTTCGTGATCAGCCAGGGCCGGTGTGCAAGGAGTTTGTTTATTTCGTTCAGATTTTTCAGCCTTTGGGGAATGTATTCTAAACCGTTCAACCATTCTGCAATCCCACCAGTCTTCAAAAACTCATCAACATGCATATTTATTAGGTAGGAACACTGATGTCTGGCAGCGGCCTAAGATAATTAAACACAGAGGGAAAAGATCAGCACATTAGCAAGTAATGTGATTTTGTTGCAGGTAGAAACAGGATATTAACACAAAACAAAAATACAATTTGATTGCAAAGGGCCATGTTTTATATTGCAAAGCATTTCTACACAGTAGGGAGGGTTCTCCTGTAAGTGTGATTACTTTGCAACACAAGCTCTAATTGAGGTTGCAGGGGATCTCTAGAACATACTAGCATCTTCTTTCTAAAGGCTTCCTTTTTCTTTTTTTAATAAGAAAGTCAAGGTCATGGGGGAAAATGGCTAGCTCATTGGTACGTACCATTATAGCAATGTAGTGCCTATATGGCAAAGGAAGGGGCCCATCCATGCGCAGCATGTAGAACTGGCTGCGGAGGAAAGACTCCAGGTACTGCGTGTGGATACTCATGACCTGTGTGATGTTGTCCAGGCGGCCAGATGTGGAGTATTCTTCCACAAGAAGATTAGTACGTTCATCCAAACCATTTGCTTGCATCACCTGCAAAATAAGACGGAGAAACTTAAGATACTGGAGAGAAACATACTGTAGTATGAAATGTTGGCTTGTGTAAAAAACTTCTGAAGATCTAGATGTATACATGTGCCTGTTAATAAGTGAACATGCACGCAGATGTTACTCGTATACTGAGCACCATATGACTGCTGTTCTAGTAACTGACTACAAAAACCCAGAACATTTTCTGCAGAGCTTTCCAAAACGGCTAAACTCTCAGATGCTTCATGTAAAATTTGTGTGGAGACTTGGAAGTGAGCAAAAATGGAAAGTAAAGTCTTTATGGATGTCAACCTGCAGAGACACACACTACCCAAACACTCAGCCCTAAAACCAATTTTGAAACTAATGGAGAAGAGTGGGGTTACGTAACCAAATTACAGAAACAGTCTGGCAGTCTACCACAGCTGGGTTTGTATAATTGAAGAGGAGATCAAATGCTAATTTGTCTGTAACATTCAAGTATTATTTAGAATAGGAATTTAATGCTTTCTTTAAACAAAAACTGTTCTTTAATTATTCCAGCTGATCCAAACCTTGGGCACAAGATGAAATGAAACAATACAAGCAAGCAGCTCTTGAACTGCAAGCCCTGACACAGTATTAGTACTATTACTCAGTGTTTATCACCAAGAACTGCCATTTTAAACATGTTCACCATTGAAGCTACAAGCAAAAGGCTAAAATACCCAGTATTTATCCTGAAATAGCACAGTTTTAGACGAGCCAGCTTACTGCTGCAAGCACTATGAAATGGGAAGCCATTTTAGCAGATTTACTGTACAGAGACAGAAAACGTGCCTAAAACCAAGAAGACACAACTCTTGCTGAGCAACTCCATTCAAAGTATGTTTTCATTCTTGGCGATGATCTGATGAACATATTGTGTACCAAATCTTTTTCCACCAAGCTGGGCCAGGGCAATCCCAGGTATTTATACAAACTGGGGGAAGATCTCCTTGAGAGCAGCCCTGTGGAGAAGGAGGGGGTCCTGGTGGATGAGAAGCTGGACATGAGCCAGCAGTGTGTGCCTGCAGCCCAGAAGGCCAACTGTGTTCTGGACTGCATTAAAAAAGGGGTGGCCAGCAGGGACAGGGAGGTGATTGTCCCCTTCTACTCGGCTCTTGTGAGGCTCCATCCGCAGCACTGTGTCCAGGCCTGGGGCCCCCGGCACAAGAAAGGTGCAGAGCTCTTGGAACAAGTCCAGAGGAGGATCACTAAGATGAGGGCTGGAGCACCTCTCCTATGAGGAAAGGTTGAGGGAACTGGGCTTGTTTAGCTTGGAGAAGAGAAAGCTGTGGGGAGACCTCATTGTGGCCTTGCAATATTTGAAGGGAGCGTATGAACAGCAGGGGGAACGGCTATTTACAAGGGTGGATAGTGATAGGACAAGGGAGAATGGTTTTAAACTGAGACAGGGGAGGTTCAGGTTAGATATTAGGAGGAAGTTTTTCACTCAGAGGGTGGTGACACACTGGAACAGGCTGCCCAAGGAGGCTGTGGATGCCCCATGCCTGCAGGCATTCAAGGCCAGGCTGGATGTGGCTCTGGGCAGCCTGGTCTGGTGGTTGGCGACCCTGCACATAGCAGGGGGTTGAAACGTGATGATCACTGTGGTCCTTTTCAACCCAGGCCATTCTGTGATTCTATGAACATACCACCTTTCATTTCTCACGACTGTATTCCCGGTTTGAATTTACGGGCCCACAGACAAAGTGGAGAAGCAGTTTGGCAACCCCGTTATTATTGTGTGTGTCACTCCTCACTATTACAGCTTTCTTTGCTTTGCACCAGAAATCATGTCAATTTGGTTTTTCTCTGGAATGTTTTTGCCATCAGTGTTTTATTCATGAGTTAGAAATCAGTCTATCTCACTTAGTTTTTTTACACCCCTCACTCCATTTAAGGAATCCCCCAATTTCTTCAGCAACTTTACTTTCCTGATGTGTAAGAGACTTTTGTCTCATGCGGCAGTTCCTTGAGGCAATTCTACTTTTCAGCCTGCTGTGTTGCTGGTGTGCTGTTCTCCAGCTAGGCAAGCATTTTCCATCTATCTTAGCAGAAGTTAAAGAGAAAACATTCTGCTGACAAAACTGAAATACACTCCTGTAGGACTGCACGGTTGCAATACAAGGCGCAGCAGTATGCAGCATTATTGCTTCCAAGATTTATCCCTATGTATATTGCAAATCTCTTCACACTGCACATGTACTTCCTCCTCATTACCTGCCCATATACATTGTGAAAATAAACCAAACTTTGATAAGACCTGTGTTTTTACCAAACTTTGTGAGACACTGAACATACGATCAGGCTCTAACCACACCTTTCCTACCTACTATATTACTTAATGTCACAGAATGGGGAAAAAAGCAGTTGTTTGCTCAACAAACAATATTTAAAATTGGTTTATGATTCTGAGTAACTTTTCATTCCTACAGGTAGAGGGAGGTTCCAGCCCTGAGTTACTGCTGCTCCTTTCTGGAGACTACTCAGTGCTTTCCTCCTGTACCCTTAGCTAGTAACTACTACCAAGCGTATCAGTTGTAAAATAAATTCATTAAGAACCCACTCAAAATGTTGTATGCTGTTATTTTAATTACAATCACATTTCTCCTTTTCATGCAATTTTTCTCTTAACAAGAGAAATATACATAAAGGAAGTACTTCTCACAAGCTGGGCTGGCTGAAACTCATTCTGCTTCCTCTTTCTCCAGTCTGCAAGGCTCATTTTGATATTTGTTGGGGTTCTTTTTACTTCATTATATTTCCTGTTGCCAGGCTTTACTCTTACTCTGTTTTTAGATTCACATCTTCGCCATGTATAAACAGAGACTCAGAGAACAGCAGATATCTTACCTTTCAAAAATTTCTTTTTGGCTCTTATAGCATGTGAATGATCTGCTTTTACTAAGTATTTAAAAGCAAACAAAAAAAAAGGCCCTATTTTTATAATCTGCCATCCCAAACAATTTGTCAATCAATAAATAATACTCTGTGAAGATTAATTTCAGGGCAAGGGAACTACTGCACAGGAAAGCTTCTATTTACTGTGGCGAGGTGCAAATCAAGGCTTAAGCTGAACACTAAATCATGCACAGAAATCTTCAGGCTGAAATCAAACTGTTCCTTTCAACCATAAATTCTCTTAAGAACCACAGTTACAGTCTCAGAAGTTGGTCATATTTGTAGGCTGACTTAAACTGAAGGTCAGGTACTGCCCTGAGAGCTATATAATGCTCTGTTGCAGTATGGACAGGTCTCCCCTTAGGCCTGACATTAACAATAAGAACGGATCATCCCCTGTGGAAAGAGCAGAGCAGCACTCAGGGCTGGCATGGGGAGTGTGGGCAACTGTGAGCAACTCCACTGTCAGCACATGCAGGAAAGGGCAGCTTGGCTCTTATCCGCTGGAGCTTGCTTCTCTTAAACCATTCTTGTTGCTCCCAAAGGGACTCATTCAGGTTCCCCTGGGCAGGCAGGATGGTAAAACTGTTCTTCAGTATTTCCATGCTAAGAGTCACCTCACAGTCAGCCCAGCTAACTGCAAACTTACCTCATTCTCAGGTATAAAGGCACTTGGTCCTCTTGTTAATGGTGGAGAGACTTGGACTCTTTTTTCCTGCAGAAGAGTCATACAATTCAATCAGTCTGAGGAATAATACATTAGCCCACTTTATCTTGCAAGTTAGATCTAAAGGCCTTGGCTTGGTTCTCTTCCCAAGGCCACCTGCATGCTTTACAGTCAAGTACACAAGAAGCCATCTCCCCACATTGGATTTGCATCCCTTGTGCTTTGCTCAAACAAATGGCATGAATTCTGGCAAGGCCAGAAAGAAAATTACTGGTCCAATTAGAGATATGTGGACAACAACAATAAAAAATGTGGCACAATGCTAAAATTGGCAATTTGCTGGATTGAACAGGAGTTTTGAAAGCAAAGGAGGAAAAAAAGCTGTCCTTACCACTATGTGCACAAAGGCCACACCTGAGAAATTATAATCAAGAAGCCATTTTCTTCAATGTAAGAGCCTAATCAGATTCTAAGCATTTAGCAGAGTACATGCACTTGTTTTGCCAGTGGCTTGAAAAGCCCAGTCACCCTCCAGATACACCAGCAAGGCCCAGGTAAAGACTCCATCCAAAAAGAAAGACAAAAATACTATGTTGTTCAGTTGCCAAGTCCAGAAAAGAACAAAGCATGCCATATACCTCTTGGTGTGCCAATTGCAGCTAGAAGAAGAGCTGGAGCCCAACAATTATTACATGTTCTTTGATAATAGGCAGAGATTAACAAGAGCAAGCGGACTTCTTGTTTAATAGTGGATAAGAAATGGAGTTGTGGAGATTTTCAATCTGTTGCCACTGACAAAGAGAAGCTGGGAAGGGACCTGCCTCTCTTCTTTGCTTCTTTACAGCTGTATCCCATGTAACTGCAAACTATGGTTGTGCATTTCTTCAGGTCGCTAATGACACTGCAGCAGAAGTCACTTTTAATAAGTTACCCATCAACAGCACTATCAGATCTGCATGGCAAGTATTTCATGTCCCAAGCATAAAAGTCTGAGGTTTTCCATAACAAATGACCCTTAAATACCTCAGTGACTCTACCGGGCAGGCTTATGTATAGCGGCCACATACACAAAGATCAGTGTGGGTCTGAAAGTGCCACAGATGTACACACAGGGAAATGAAGACACTAGAAATGCATAACTGCTCTGTGTCTTCAGAACATCCTTTCCCTTTTAAATTAGAGTATGAAAAAAAAAAACAAAACCATGCAAAAATCAGCAGTGATTATTCAGGAAAGATGTTCCAAAACAAACTCTCTCCTGACAATTAAATTTGTTACTTTGGAGTAATTAGCTGTTAAATGATGAAGAATGCAGTCATGCATGCTTTTGCTCGTTTTCTGAACTGACCAGAATCCACTGCGTGAAAACAAGTAGTCAGGAGACAACTCACTGTGACCACTGCCTGCTGTCACAGCCCCACAGCATTGTAAAATACTCCTTATGAGTCACACGTAACACATCTAAAGTAGTGAAAAAAGTACAGACTGGGTATCTGCCCACATAACCTCTTCTCCATACAGCTATTCAAGGCTCAGAAGGTTTCTCTTAGTTTTAAATGCTTGCTTTTGCCAGCAATCATCTTGGTCAACCTTCAAAAAAGAAACGCTTTCCAAGATGAATATTAATGGTGTACATCACTGGTTTTAGGAAGGGTTTTTGGACATCAAGTCTTTGAAAGCCTTCATTTTGCATCAAATACCTGGAAGAAACAGTTTGTGTGAGGGAGATGACTTAACAGCCCTTGGCCAAAGCGCAGGTTGAAAGCAGAGCTGAATCACTGTATCAGTGCCCTCTGAGCTATAGCCCACTTTGCCAGACTGCCCAGTGGGTCATCTAGGTCAGACTGGAGCAAAAAAGAGCACTGTTATCCTACTTTTAAGAGGCTATGACCTCCATTACCTACTTTCCCCATTCAGCATGGCTGCCTTGAACTTTTTCTAGTGGTGTAGACTATTCCCTTCTAGCAACAGAAAATATTTTGCTGCCTCTACACCAAAGCTTCTGTTTTACTGAAACCAGTTAACACAAGCTCATCATCGTAACAGCAAATATGATCAAGCTGTACAAGTTCTCAGGACGCTATTAATACAAACATGGGAAGTTTGCAACCACTAAGTAAGATAACAGTGGCTTTGTTGAACTGTAGATGAAAACCACTTCTCCCGGACAAGCTGTATATAAGTAGGGGTTTAAAACCTACCCAATATGGGAATTAGCAAACAATGCTTCAGATATGTGGTCCTTCAAGATGAGACATTCTTGCAAAGCTTTCTGTTTCCCAAGAAAAGCTGATTCAATTTCCTGCTCAACTCATCCTTGCATGTTACACTGGCTGTTGCAAAGTAAGTCAAGTGGGGTCCCAAATATCTTATTTGAAATTGGATTCTTATGCTAAATGAACCAAGAACAGGTTGCTCAGCAACCAAGATACCATATGCACATCCATGAGCCATTTTCTGCTATTCCTCTATCAACACATTGTTGGAGTATGAATACGTGATCTTAAAAGCTTGTAACCAACATCATTTACATTAAAATTAAAAGAATCTTTTTGGAAGTGCTGATGAGGAGAGAGAAAGATAATGAAGAGCTTCAAAGATGAGAAAGGAGAACCAGGCCAGGGAAGGTTGCTGGGAGAAGGCTGCTGCTTCTTGGAGAAGGCTCTGGGGAGACCCCACTGTGGCCTTCCAGTACCTGAAGGGAGCTCATAAGCAGAAGGGGAACTCAGGTTTTGCACTATCTGATAGTGACAGGACAAAGAGGAATGGCTTTAAACTAAAAGAGAGGAAATGTAGGTTAGATGTCAGGAAAAAAAAATCTTTATTCAGAGAGCAGTGAGGCCCTGGCACTGCTGACTAGAGAGCTGTGCTGCCCCATCCCTGGAGGTGCTCAGGGCCAGGTTGGATGGGCCCTGGGCAGCCTGAGCTGGTGGGGGGGGGGGGGGGACAACCAGCCCATGGCAAGGATTGGAAGCCAATAATCTTTAAGGTTCCTTCCACCCTGAGCTATTCTATCATTCTATGAGATGGGGCCCAATTCATGCTGAGGTGCAAGCTCCGCAGTGGCCTGCTGTGGTGTGATGGACACACTAACACACGTGTTTGCAGAAGAGCCGCTGGAAATCACAAAAAGACAGTCCTGAGTGGGTCTCATCCATGACTTGCTTTCTGTCCTTAAGCTGCACTTCGTCATGAGCTAAACACCGAGAATTGAAAGGCTGTGAAATGGATCTATTTTTCTTGTGAATGTGCAATTCACACTCAACAGTGGGAAGCATCTTCCTCCTTGGATGTGATCTGCCAAAGCCAATACCAAAGGCTGTACCTTGTGCCAGGACAGGAGGCAACAGGTACAAACTGGAACACAGGAGATTCCCTCTGACCACCAGAAGCATTGCTGAGCTGCCTTGGTGAGGACAGGGCCAGAGCTGAGAGCATGGTCCAGAGCCACACCTGCGAGCTGAGAGTGCAGCCGGCCTGCAGCAGCCCTCCTGTCTGAGCCTGAATTTTAAAGAAATTCAACTTCTTCCTCTTCGCTATCACATGAGTCACTGTGTCCTGAGGCTGCAAAGAAATGACTATTTTTAGCAAGCTGTAAAAGGAGGTTAATTTTATTTGAAACAGAAGAAAATGGAGCCATTATCTGGCAGGGCTGATCAAACAGCTGGCTTAGAAAGCCCTTTTTTTTGAATACCTTTTTTTGAATACTTTTTTGTTGAATATTATCATCTTCCAGTAATTTTGCTGCCATCTAGCATTTCTCAGGAACTTTGTTACTTCAATTCTGTGATCTCTTTCCTTATGAATGTGCAAAGCACAGGCTGGTGCAGCGTTTGGGGCGTATGGAAGCTCTGCACAGAAGTTGTGCATACAAGCTAACTCATCCTGCACATCAAGATGGTCAGGCTGTGGGGTGGAAACCAAATCATTGGAAAGAAACGTTTTGTACCTCATGAGGGAATTCTGCAACTTCTCAGCTGCCAGAACAGCATGAGTGGCTCAGGACGGCTGGTGAAAGGCTGAGAGCCATCACTTGCACAAAAATCACCAGAAAGACATTGGGGCAATAAATAGCACTGGATCCCATACGCATACATCCCAAGGGCATCCCAAAATTACTTTCTCCTGAGGCGTAAACTTTTTTTTCCCTTGGATAAGCAGGTACAGTAGTGATGGAAGGCTAAGAAAATGTACTTTCTACTCACTGTATTTACTGACTTTCTCTAATACTTCTCCCACACTGTGGAAGCCAAGATGGGTTTTATTTCTGACTTTAAGCCATGCTTGTGCTGAGGTTATCCTTCTCCAGCCATCTCTTAGACTCTCCACTGGCATTCAGCTAATCATTACCTATTTAAAAAAACATGAATGATATGCCCTCCCACCTCCTGCTTAATACCCAGGTTGTCTAATGTTCTGCTTCATGTCTGCTCTCCAATGCTTCCAAAAGAGCAAATACCATCCACCCTCTGCCCTATTACTCTGTTCTTCCACTGCTTTACGACACTTCTTCCTCAGATGCTTCCCTCTGCCAAGGCCATTCTCTGACCATGCACAGAATGTACCTTTGGAACAGGAAAGTCTCCATAGCTTTCCTATTCCACAGAAGTACAAAGAGTCAATGAAATCTCTGTAAGTTCAATAGTCTTCATCTGCTCCTTTTAAGAACTTTTCTTTCTGGATTTTACTCCTGCATTATTTTTTCCCCTTTCTCTTTTGCATTTTCCAGGTACTTTGTATAAATCACTTTTTATACTTCAAAGTTCCCACCATAGGATATTATAAATGCTTCTAGCTTTGGATTATTTACCCATTCATGTTTTACTGTCTCCCCATCATAAAATCATAAAAATAATATACATTTTCAATTCAACTTACTACACTATTAAGCTACTCTGTATTCTATATTGAGCATGCTGAGAATCTGTTCATTAGCTATCCAGCAAGTGCCCTTTAAGAATTTCTCTCAGCTACTCTATCTTGTGAACATTACGTTCATTTATAACAAAAACCCATACTGTCACTGCTGCCCACTGTGCTTCTACATC